ATTGGTTTAAAATTGTCTTTGAGGCTAAAGGTAATTTTTCCGCATTTTTCTTTGCCAGTTCTACCAAACATCTTGTGGCAAGATAAGGTGCACAACTTGTACCATACGTAACCGTGCATAACTCAATTTGTTGTAAAGGTTTATCTGGACTACTTGACCAGAGAATATTTTGAAGAGAGGAATAAACAGGATTAACTTGTATTCGACGATACATTTTCTCTATATCGCAAATAAATACAAGGCGCGCAAAACGAAATCTGCAAAGAATATCATAAGGCTCGGGAGAAAGATTGGATGTAGTTTTCATTGAAGCGTCGAATACCACTCTCAACTTAGTAATGGCGCTAGACTCTTTGATTACGCAATGGTGAGCCATGAAATAGTTATTAGAGGAAGAAAACTGATTAGACTCTGTTAAAGGAACATATTTTGCATGACCTAAATCAAAATATTCATCTATGAAGGCTTGATAACGCTCAAACAATTCTGGACCTTTTTTAAATCTGGATTCTAATAAAAAGAATCGTTTAGAAGCTATGGCGAATGAATTACCCAAATCTTGAATCTGCTTCTCATTTTTTAGAGGTAAGTCTACTTGAAAACGGCCATCATCTAAAATCTTAGTTGTTTGTTGGAAAATAGTTTCACATCTTATCGCATCTGGAGTTAAATTTGATCGAGTTTCGACTTCTTCAAGAGACCAAAACTTAGTTAAAAATGAGTCGAGTTCCCTTTCGTATTCTAAAGGGTTGAATAAAAAAGACTCTTGAACAAAAAAAAAAGCTAGTATTATTTCGATGAGTGTTAGGCTTAGATAAAAATTGACAATTATTGGGTATAGCACCTGAGACGATATAACCTAGACGCGTATTTTGCAGAATAGGCCATTTTTTTCCAAGATGTTGGGTTTAATTATTTCACGGTGAATTTGTGCTCTCAAAAGCATGTCTATTTCTGAAGGATTACAGAAATATGGGTCGGCTAAATTAATATTAGCAGGAATATGTAAAAACCTTTTATCTAATTTAATTTGAGTCAATTTTTGAGTTATATTTCTTAAAACTATACAAGATATAGATCAAATTAGATATTTCTTTCAGTATTAGAGAAAATGGAAATATACCATTTTACTAGAGGTAGTAATATTGTTAAAAATGACTGAAATATGAGAAAATATATCATAGGTATGCACACCTAATTTTTGAACTAAGTTTTCTGTTATAAAACATTGACTACCGAAATCAATAAGAACCCTAGTCAGAATGTTGGAGCCATCCTTGGCTTTCAAGATGACTAAAGCAGTAGCTAATAGAACAAATGTTGAATTTTGAGTGATAGAAGCATGAAACGGAATCTCTGAAACAGGGATTGTATGAGCAACAGTATGATTTTTCCAACTAGATTGAGGTTCGTTCGAACGAAGATTTGACTCACTATGTTGAGCTACTTGAGCATTTCTAGAGCTAGATGCACCATTATTTATAGATTGACTCGAGCCTTGATTACTTGAGCTATTTTGTCTATCATGATAAGTAAACTGAGATGGAGGGGCATTTGGAGATGTATTGACATGTAATAGAGTATGATGCTTTTTATGACAGATATTACAAGCCCTTGAACTTTGACATTGTGAAAACGAATGCTTCCCGAGACAGTTTGAACATCTTTGATCATTATGTACGAACTTTAATTTTTCACATTGAGGTAAATTCAAGAATTTGTCACATTTATTTAAAAAATAATTAGGCTTATGACAGTAAGCACAGGAAAAATTAGGTTTTGGCTGCCCTGTCTGATGGCTAGTATTATAACTAGCAACAGCAATTTCAAAATGAGCAACAATGATTGAAAGCAGAGCAGAAATTTGATCTAAATAGGTAATTATAACATGAAATTGACTCAGAAATAAACTCGTGTAGATATACGAAATCTACATAATAATATAATGGTAGGGTAGATGAATGAATACTAAATATTACCAAGACAAAATAGAGAAATAGGTATTATAAAGTATAGATTAGCAGAATAAATATATCAATAGTTTTTGAGACATGTTAATAAAAATTAACAGAAACATAACTCAAAAATAAAAAATAAAACAACAACAAATAGTCTACATAGATATTAAACTTATAATTAATTCACTCAATCCCAATCCAATAAAAAGTCTGATGAGAATAAATAATAATGTTCAAAAACTTACAGTCTGTGGAGTTCACTAGCAATGCAAATCCAATTTGCAGCTACATCCGCCTCGAAGGACCAGAATAATGTATAAACAGGATAGTTTTTATTTTTCCTCTTCATCCATTATAGTCAATGGCAACAAAACCATTGAATGCCACACCTGAACAGTCAGGATTTATCCATAGGGCTAATTTCTTGTAAGAACAATTCTTCGAAGGACCACTTGGCCTATAATAGCCAAGAAAGGAGTAGAAAAAAAAAACACTTACACTTATTCACTAATAGTAATAACTTTAATAATAATTACTTTTGTACAAACTTTGCAATTCACAAATGTCAAAAAATCAGTGATTACAAAGAAAACCACACTCTACTTGTCTTGTAGAGACCAGAACAAATTTGTCGCTAGAGCAGGCACTTGACTGAAGACTTCAAAGAAAAATATATCTAATATAGAAGTCAGAGAACTATAAGAATGTGAGTAAAAGCCTGGAATAATTCTCCAGAGGCTCAACCGAGGGATTACCACTCAGTCAACTGATAATTTTGTACCACGATAAATTAATTTACTGATTTTGTGCAAGAACCACGAGACTGTGTATTTAGAGTTTTGAAAGCGGCAAAAACCCTTTTCGATCACTGAAATGGTACTGCCCGCCCTTACTGGCGTCTGCTTATCTGAAGATAAGGGTTGCATCATCATGTCAATAGTGTGGTTTTAACACGTTTTAACTTGTACCTTTTGAATACTGCGTAGCTTGGAGAATTTTATAAATTTCTTTATTTTCAGAGAATAATTTTAATTTTTAAAAGGATTTGAAATACGTGATTTCCAAACAGTTTGATCATTGGTTTGATCACTACATTATCACGAATCCCGCGGGTCCACTCTCTTTACTTAACATTAACAGCTTTCAAGGAACTGATTAATTTTACATAATTCACTAATCAGTATCAGTTTTACTCCTTTATACTTTATGCAACAATTATTTTCTTCTTAAAACTGAATGCAACTTACAACAAAGTTGGCGTTTCTAGAAAACCACACCAAAAATTTCCCGCACCAGTCGTGCACAGTGGTTTTTTCCGAACATGTTATTTCTTTACCCGGCGTCTATCTCAAAACAGATTACCTCGATCTGGGTCCTTATTCTCGAAACAGGGGAGCAGCGTTCTCATGAGAACGAATGTTCTGTCTTTGTCGCCCTTATTCATATTTCCATAACACTGATAAAAAAAGAACATTTGTTCTCATGAGAACGCTGTTCCCCGGTTTCGAGAATAAGGACCCTGATTATTTTCTATTTGATTCATGTCATCTAGATCTATGTCTGTAACTATCCACATGCTGTTAAGGATATAAAAATGAGTTAAGGATATATAGAAAAAAAACATGCAATTTTTTTTATCTACAAGCGTGCTGTAACTAAAGAATATTACACGATTTTGCGTGCGGTAAGTACCATATTACCGCACCGCGTGCGGTAATATTATTACCGTACGCTCTACCTACATAGGTACGTACCTTCAATTACCTACCGCAGAGCTAAATTACCTACCTATCACCTAAATTCTACTTGTCCACTGTCAAAGGTGACAGACACACTTTTTTTCATAATTTTCATAAACTTCTTTCGGATATTCTGTTACCGCACGCTTGTAGATAAAATACTGTATATAATTCGTATGGTAATTAGGTTATTACCGCCCTTAGAGATTGCAAACCTCGCCTCACCGGCTCGGTTTGCAAATTTCTCTCGCGTGCGGTAAAAACCTAGTTACCACACTTATTATATAATATACTATTAGTGAACAACTAGTTTATTTTGATGATTTAATAATTGTCAAAGGAATAATCACACTTTTATAACCGGTAAGGATTAAATCTAGATGATTTAGTAATTTTGGTTCTGATCTTTGAATCCGATGTCCCCTTCTTGGCCTTGATCTCTCTAGCTTTAAAAATTTTTGGTTCCTTCCTAATAGTAATTTTTTTTTGAACATTCTTCGCATATAACCCAGATTGTTTAGTAGATGATCGTTCTACTGTTGTCATAACACCTGGTCTTGCTAACTGAGCTACGATCTCTTCTTTTTCTTCTTTGATGGCAATTCTAACTTTTTTCTTCAATATTGGATCTCCTCGGGCCATGGTACTGAAGAAAGACGAGCTTCTTACTGCAGACAGTAACGATTTGGAATCCAGCAGCCTCAAAACAACACACCATACTTCTATTGGCATTTCTGGGAGCAAGCTAACGGTAATAAAGGGAAGCAGAGAATACATGTTGATAGCGCAACGGCAGAAAAAGGAATGACCTTTTGAGGAGTTTGCACCCCTATTTATACCTGCAGTAAGTAATAAACTAGGACACATTCCTGGAAATATGGTTTTTCCTCATCAGGTTAGTCTTCTTTCTGCCCTTGTGCTATCAACATGTATTTTCTCTGCTTCCTTTTATAACGGTTATTTTGAGCATATAGCTTTTATCAACTTATATTTATTTTAAAATACATAGCGTTTGACCTAATCGAAGGCAGTCACTGGAATTCAACTGACTTGATGAAGCCTCTTGAATACTGTAACGCGCCTGGCATCATTTGGATATAAATAGTTTTAATCGAAAATATAGTTTTCTGGAACTGAAAACCGGGATTTCTAAACATTGCAAAAGCATCTTTAATCAACTACGAATTTAGATTAATGTGCGAAACCAACTAAACGAACTAACTAATTGAGTTTTTTCGAGTTTAGTAATATAAATTTGAAACTGATAATGATTCTATTGAACAAGTTTTCTTTATTGTTACAGAGGAAGAAGCTTACCACTGTATGGCTAGTTTAGTTTCCTGCAAAGAAAAGACTTTTATCACACAAACAAAACTTCTGTACGAGGTCACGTGGAAAACTGTGATGCAAATATGTAGGAAGCACGTGGTAAGTCTCAATCTAACACAAAGATAATCTGTATACACCGTGATTGTCGTAGCCCGTGCATTAGAATTCAATTGGGTTGCAGGTGGATTAATAGAGATAGCATCTAATTCACCTGAAAGCTACGTAAATCACCCTGTATATCCAAAGTAATTTGCGTTGAGGATTGGTATCATAAATTAAGCATGATAACATCGAATAATTTTTTCTCAAGACTTGATCGAATTAAAGACTCTGAGAGGTTATTTTAATTTGTGATATTCCAGCATTACAATATTAAAGTAAAAAAGTGTTTTATCCATTTGTCTTCATTAAGATGCGTTTTATGTCGCGAACGGTAATTTTTTTCTTCATTTAAAGTCCCAACGAGGAAGTCGTGGGTAGAAATTATCGCTATCGCTGTCAAGGTCGGGTAAGTCGCGCGATTCAGCTATTATTTTTTTTCTCTGCTGCAAGTTTTTGGGATGTCGTTCAGTTTACGTTAACCGTAACGATCCAGTCATAGCCTTATCAAATAATGAGTTATGCAGTGCATAATTATCAGCTCAACTAGCTTATCTCAACTTTACTCTGGAATTCAGCTCAAGCTTTTAATTATTTATTGATAACGTGAATAAATACTGTGAATACACCACAAGAGAATGCTTTCAAAAACGATGCTCTATGTTTGATCCTTAATTTATTGGTTGCGTCATACAGGACTTGCGACCTAAATGGAAAATTTTGCTTAAACAAATATGTGGAAAAAAGCAAATACTTATTAGCCCCAGTGCCTGATTATAAAATATAGAGTTACCTACCATTAATGGATCACTTCAAACATTATCTAAAAGTTTTCTTGTGTAGTGAACAGAGAAAATGTTTATATTTTTTCTTTCAGGTTTTCGTTTAGATCTAGATCGTAGGAATTATTTCTTAGCATTTTTTTTTAATTCCAAATAATAAATGAATAATACTATTCCAGCATTGACCCTTGCTGTAACTATTTTAGTTGCCCACTTGCAATAAAACATCAACTTGATTGGATAATTGCCATAGTCAGTTAGATGATTGGTGCTTCATGTTATTTATGATAAGCAGTCTCACTTTGGGAGATGTATGCTGATTTTTTACAATTTTACGACAATTTTTATTGCGCAGAAAATAAGTCTATTAGACGGTTTTGCTAATTTACTGTATTGGTCGTTGCCTGCAGCTATATTAGGAAGATCTATAGCCTCTAACCATAATCCAACTATCAAAGGGTTGCCCTTTATCTGCTTTGAATATAAATTATTAGGAGGTAATGGGAGTGGATTCCTATATTTTATTGATAGGGTGTCATGTCAAGAATAACCAGAATGAGAGAAAACTATCCTCTTGAGCAAAATAAAAGTTCGTTTGTGAATTATTCAAAATTCAAGAAAGGAAAAAAAAAAGCAATGTAGGTACCTACTTTAAATGAATAAGTTATGCCTTCGCTTCACAAGACGTGGGGCAATGTACTCCCTTCCTAAAACCATCCTTACTCAGAAAATGTAACTATTAACATTAATTGTCCTAACTTACCCCTTGTATGATTTGTATCAGAAATCCTTTCTTATACTTGATTCTCTTTAGGCCTGCTCATACTGCTCATAACTGCTCACACGTGCTCATAACTGCTCACACGTGCTCATAACCGCTTACATGTGCTCATAACTGCTTACACGTCCCTATAACTGATTACACGTGTCTCTATTGGCTTCCATCTACCTCTATCTGCCTCTATATGTGCTGTACTTTAATTTGAATTTGAAGAAAATATAACAGTAATCAACAGCAAAACTCTATGAAAATATGATTAAAAAAAAATAATATATTGGACAAAATCACAGTGAACAACAGTTCGACTAGTAGTACACATAAGCAAATATAAATTAAAATCTAAAGTTCAGACACAACGTTTAATCGACAATAAGGAACAACTTAAAAGATCACACTCCCTATAATTTCTATTGTAATTGCAAATCATTCTGTCCACAAAAGCTGTAAATCCATAATTTGTTCTGTGCGGGTGCTCATATAAAAGTTGATGTTGTCTGGTTCGTCTAATGGGGACCAAAAATAATATTGATTCCAATAATGTGCTGCAATCTATCCAATTATTCAGGATTCTGTTAAGAATAATGAGTAGTACGTGTTTCCGTCTCTGCTCAAGGCTCATCATCCCACACAGCAACAGTCTGGTTTCATAAGGTATTCCAGATGAAGGAAAGCGGTGTTTATATGGTAGGTAGTCCAGAAACTTGTTTTGGACGTTCTCTAGTCTATTAATATGGATGGTATAATGTGGGGACCAGATGACGGAGCAGTATTCAAGAGTGCTGCAGACAAGGACGTTGTAAAGACATGTAAGTGCCTTGGTATCGTTGATGTATTTGGTATTTCGCTTAATGAAGCCAAGCAATCTGTAGCTTTTGACAACAATATTATCGCTGTGCATTTTGAATATCAGTTTTTGATCGAACGTTACTCCAAGGTCGTCGATGAATTCCACATTATTAATTTGCTGATTACCAATCTTATATGCTGACATGTGTGGAGATGTACTCTTGTGGAATGGTATTGATTTGCATTTGGATATGTTGATTTTCAGTGTGTTTGAAGAACTCCAAGAGGCAAATCTGCCGAGATCTGGTTGCAGTGGGTTGGAAACTCCATTCCTAACATTATAAAATTTCAGGTCATCATCAGCATACAGGAGGAAGTGTGAAAAATGTAAGCAGGAGGAAACATCGTTGATAAACAACAGGAAAAGAACAAGTCCTATATGTGATCATTGGGGAACACCCGAAGTGACCTTGACGTTTTGTGAGGAGTAGCCACACACTTCAACCCTCTGCGGGTTCGATCTCCAAGATATGATTTGATCCATGCTAAATAGTTTCCAGAAATACCAATTTCTGATAGTTTTTTTATGTTTACTGAAAGTCAGTGATACAAACCCCACGATACTCTACAAACAATTTTAGCACTTTGAGCCTTTTTCCTGGCATTCCGCCTACTTAGATGTTTTGACTGTTTCGAATCTTAGGTGATTGTTCAGATATATGCTAAGGGTCTGACAGATGTTTTGTAGAATATGTAGAGCATGGAATAATTTTATTCTTATGAGTTGGATTTCGATTGTTCTATTTCCTGTGACTATATATCTCGGACAAAATAGACTGACGCATACTTATATGACAATTTTAAATTATTTTCATTCAACCAGTTGTTGATGGTCGCTAGTGGAAGATTAATTTTATTTGCTATTTGACCGGTAGACTTCCATTTAAAAAAAAAATCAAAATCATCTGCATATGCCATGACTTTCAATTTCACTTGTTCGAGGTTTCCTGCTAAACATATATTTTGAACAAAATGATACCGAGTGGGCAATCCTGTGTCTTTATTGAAATTTTCTATTCTCCAGCATTTGCTAGTAATGGCATTTCTTGATCCTTCGATAAGATCTGTCAACAAATTGACGTAAGTTGTGGTATTTAAATTACCATCGATGACTTTGACAAATAATCCCACACCAAATAATAATACTAGGTATACCGAATTTCAGGTCTGGTTGGCTATTTGTTGCATAAAAATGTTTATTTATTCGATTAAAAAATGCCGCTATTTGTAGAAAATCTACGTCGTAAATGTTTGTTTAATCTGCCTATAAAATTATCATTTACTCGGAATCTTCTGGATGAAGTTTTTCTTCAATTCCGAATTCATAATAATGAAATTTGTGTTTCTCAAGAATTTTCTGGACCCCCGCAGCGGTTATTCCGCATTCGTTGCCAATGTCGCTGGAAGAAAGAAAATCCGGGAATTATATTCAGTTGTGACAATACATTGATTTCATTCTCTGTATTTCTTACACGATATTTTTCCTGCTTGTTTGATTTACTTTCGTAATTTTTTTTCAAATAATGTTTTTTTCGTGATGGCTGATTTCTTTCGGATGAAATCAAGCATATTCTAGAACTGCATTATCAACATTTCTATAGCATCTGATGTAAACTAATGACATACTAACACAGATAGACATTACAGTAAACAAAATTTTGTGTCGCTAACATCTAGGAGAGCAATCCACCACCGGTGTATCCCCTCTAATTTGGTTGCCAAATTGTTACGGATTGATATTTTATTTTGTTATGACTTTGCCTCAAAAAGTTAGAGGTTCAAGACTAAAAACGACTACTGACAACGTGACAACGCTGGTTCTGTAAGACAGGCGGAACACACCTACAATCGATTGGCATGTCAACGCGCCCATCAAACTTATATCATATGAGTTAGAGGCAGACGGATAGATAAACGAGTTGTACCCGTGCGCATTTCTTCATTATATTGGTCAAGTGAATGACGAGATTCAGAGGGGAATATGGGTCTTGTTTACACCACTGATGCATCCCTACCATAACCCCCTCGAGCAGCTCACCTCTCCTGGCCCATGGGGAGTCTTGTCATCACAACAAACATCAGTTTATGGATGAGATGTGGTGTCTATCTATGTTAAGATGTCATTGATTATAACGCACCATTTTCTGGATCTGTAACATGTGGTGACAGACTCTTGATACGATCCTTTGCGATTCTTCAATCAGACAAAGGGCGCTTTACATATCATTGTAAAGTTCTCCTCCGAAGTTTCCATTGAGCAATATCCACGAGTGCGTTTTTGCTGATTTAATACCAAAAATAAGTTTGAGCCCCTAACTCCCAATTGTGGGTTGCTGAGATTATAGCACCACAGTGCCACTACAGGCAGATTTGATTGTGCGAGTTTTAAAGGGTTAAAGTCTCAAATTTGGCCGTTTTTCTTCGTGTGCTATGTCTGGAAAAGGCCGAAGTATTTTGGTAAGTTACCATGTGCGAAAATCTTATCCATTTTTTTTTAGGCCTTTTTTCTTTAGTCTCTCTTCACTTTCATCCTTCCCCTTATTGGAAGCTTTCTTTCTCCTGATACCCCACGAGTGTCGGTTGCCCATCAA